CGCCACTTGACTCAATGACAGACCTTATGAGGCAACGCGCGCGTAATAACCATTCGCCCCCCCCCCCTCACTTCCATTGAGGTTAGAAGAATGATACCTCAGCGCGAAGATCATTAGTTTTATAGGCATATTGCCATAACATCTGAATACTTCAGATGTTGAAAAATACCTAACTGTTGGTAGGATTGTCAATGGTCTCTTGTACGAATTTGGTTTTAGTACCATCGATAGTCATGTTTCACAGTTAGTAATATCTGGTGATGGAGGCAGACCGCCATTAATTTTCCACATCTCGGTACCCACATATTGGAGTGCCGATTATAAGCTCGCATTTAGACATATTTTTCTCCGTCCTTTCCTGCCATTTTGCATGCTTATCTATATTGACTTTTTGGTGTAGAATTAATGAAGAGGCATTGAATTTCTATTTTCTGTCTGATTTCGTCAGATTGAGACTTTTAAGGCGGAAGAATACAACGAGTAAAGAGGCATTGATTTGTTTTTGCACTAACACAGACATGATTTTTTGTTGGTCAGTCTCATACAAATTTAGTACTCTGATGATCCCATGATGTCATATTTGCTGTGATGTAAAAGGGAGTTCTCAAAAAAATTTAGGGAATGGACTACAGCATGTAAATTGTAGAACACAGCTGAAATAAAATTAGAGTCAATGGAGAAATTAATGGTGGTCTGCATCCTGATAGGGAATCAGATTCATACGAGTTATGTGCCCCTGAATGTGATATTATCGACTACTTAGTCCCCGTTTATATGTGTGTATGTGTGTGTGTGTGTGTGTGTGAGAGAGAGAGAGAGAGAGAGAGAGAGAGTTAAGCGTCCACTCGACACAAACTAGGTCATTTCGAGACTAACATATGGTTTAATTTTATTTCAATAATTCGCTTGCGCGTAGGGATCTTTAGCAGTGGGAGGAAACCGGAGGACGCGGAGAAAACCCACGAGGCTGGACAGGCGACACTACTCCTTGTCACGTACAACCAGGATATTTGTGAAAGCAATTTGCCATATTACATACGCCTGTTCAAACAATCATTTGCAGATACGTGCCATGATTTAAAGTTAGTAACAAATATTACATACTCTTATTTTACGTTTTAAATCCAAAGTGAAAACTTGGTTATTTAGTCACTATCATTACCACTCCAAAGTAAGAACATTTTTTATCGCTTAGAGCATTCTCTAGTGGATTGAATATTTACCTGATACAAATAGTATTATTAATAAGAGATAAGCAGCAGGTGGGTACGGTTCATTCAAACATATTTGAATAATATGCTCTTTATGAGCAGAACAGAAGACTATCGAAGTAAAACTGATTCAGTGCGTTTGTGGCCAGACACAACCAAAATGTAGCGATAGTACAGAAATGAAATGAAATGATGTTTAACGTCCTACTGTTCTGCTTCGAACTGGGCTAAAGAAGACGGGCATACGCCATACAGTGTGCACCGGCGCTAAGGCCTACTCTTAAATGGAATTCCAACTGTCAAGGGATCTTTTACGTGGACGCCAATGTGCCGTGCATGCCAATGTGTACACGGGACCTCGGTTTTTCGTCACATCCAAACGACTAGTACAGAGAAGGTACACAGGTAATTTGGAAACTTAAGTATGCAGATGTTATACTGAAAACTGTGTGGAACAATTCAGGTCATGTTTGCCATGACCCCACACTGTCTCAAACCCATCCCTGAAAATAACATGTATCGGATAACCCGACCAAAGCAAAAATCGGTAGATGATTTTCAATACCATCTCTTAAATCTCAACACCAAACTCTTGCTCGATCCGTTCCTAAATCAAATCTCTTTATTTTTGTTCCGAATCTTAATACATATGGCACCATGGTCACCATTGTTCTGAGTATTTGGTCTTCTATTTTCTGACTTAACTATGTACTTCACGTTGTGCCGGGGGTTAGATAGCCGAATGGTTAGCACGTGTGGGCTGTATCAAAAATTAACACAAGAAATGGAAAATAATTGCCCGTCATTTAAAATTCAAAACATTTGAGGGCGATAGAGAAAGAGGTGCATGGGATCCGGAGAAAAGCCACGAGGTTAGACGGCGACCCTATTGCCTGTTAGATATCAGCGGGGAATTTAAACCACGCCACTTGACTCAATGACAGAACTTATGATGTAAAGTGCTCGCGTTAACCAATCGGCCACTCATCCCTCTCCTATCCATCGAACAATAAAATTAAATAAATACTAGTATTTGTTGCATGATGAATCATGTACTATTGATATAGTTAAAGTTAAATATAAAGTTAAAGATGCATTACGTAATATTTAGATAAAGAACTGACAGCTCTCGCAATAATAGTTAAACAAATAGATCATAAAAAGGGACTATGTTGAAACTTTCATTCAAATTGTCATTTTTAAATGATCATACATCTGTTGAAAATCAAAACCACCCGAAGTTCTAGAGAGTTGATTGTTGGCCTGGTGTGTAAATAAATGTCGCATAAATGATTTCTATAACATTTCAGGCGAAATGAAATATCTGCAATAGGTAAATTTAGTTCTAAATAATGCATCAATAACCAGCATAACATCCTGTATACTCAGTTATTATAAAATCTCAATAACTTTCTCCAACATTTAACATGATTAAAATTTAACGTTAAACTCTCTATACGTTTGACTATCTTCGGCATGATTTAATTTTAGCGATAAGCATTTAATGTACATTGTTGAAAATTTGGCAGCTATTTGATTGTAACTTAAAATCTTCATTCAACTTCATTGATACATATTTACACGTATTATTTTAAACGGCTCAATCGTACAAATTAATAATTTATATGTTTTGTTTGAAAGAAACGTAATTTTACAGCTACAAAAGAAATTGTTTTCTTTTTTTCTTTTGAAGTGCAAGATGATGTTGGTTTCATAAGGCAAACGAATAAAAAAACACGCTACGAATATTTTATGACTATTTAGATTGTTGCTGGGTATTATTATCCTAAAACAATCGTTGTAAATATTATATGACATACAATACAAACCAAGCTTTCTAGATATTCCATAGCTTGATTTGCTGTTGTTGCTATGTCGACAGGTAAAGTAACTATATATCAGCATTGTTATATTTCTTTGTCCATTAAATCCAATCAAGCATACCGTCTCAGGTTTCCGAAAAAGATAATAATATATTCCCTATATAATGTCGTAACAGGATATCACCGGTGAATATAACAATAAACCATACAAGTCAATTAAGCACGGTTCGCATGCACAACGTTTACTCATGTATGTAAATGTGCCTATATGCATTTTTGGAATGTGTTTGTCCATTCGGTTTTAGATTCCGAAAGCACGCCAGTTGACTCAATGACAGACCTTATGATATGGCGCGCACACGCTCACCATTCGACCATCCAACCCCCTTCATTCCCAGGGAATATATTATTTCGATTAATACTTTATCACATGAATGATGTGTATTAAATATATCTATACAGGTAATTCATAAAGACATGGTCACCAGATCACATTTTGAATAGACGAGTTTGAAAAGAATTATCTGACAATTCATAAAAAGAATTGACTGCCACTATATAAGTCAGAGGCGGATTTAAGGGGGGGGGGGCCTCCCTAATATTCGACAGTGCCCTTTTTTACTGCTGAAAGTGCCTTTTCTCAGACCCAAATATGTCCGTTCCCAACCCGTTGCATGGATCCCAAATGACTCAAACCATCGATTCAAACACACCAGTCTGGTCTAATTAATGCTTCCACTTTCAAACGAATTCTTGTTGTTTAGCTGATGGTGCCCTAATCCTATAGAGTGACTATAGACAGACATCTTGTGGAATCGGCGGCGTATACACTCATGTCCATCACCGACGCGCATGAGTGCAACTTGACGTAGCATTGTTTCATGTGTGGACAGTACAAAGTACAAGTTACAAGGCTTAAATAGTGAAGTGGCTAGGGAATAGATTCGTCTTTTTTCCCATCATAATGCCTCGCTCGCCTTAACAATTTTCGAGTCGCATGGTCAACTGGCTTTTTTGCTCGATTTTAAGGCTCTTTTTCAACGATTTTCGAACGTTTACTTAGACGAAAATATCAGCCAAATAGCTCTTGGAATGGCTACAGATGCAAGGAAATGACGGATAATTTTCTTTGGGGACCCCCCCCCCCCCCAAAATAAAAAAACAACAAACAAAACAATCCCTTCTCAGCGGCGTGCCCCGTCTCCGCGGTCCGTGCCCTCATTTTGCGGCGCCCCCCCCCCTTTTAAAATTCCTAGATCCGCCCCTGTAAGTGAACACGAAAGAAAAACATAAAAAGTCCGTGCATTACCATGTTTTCAGAAGGTATAGAATGAATATAAACGGATTATTTCTATTTTTCTCATGTTCTCTTATAATATTTAATGACATTCAATTACTTTATTGAAGTGTCAGGTATCCTCTTACAGTCCCACACAACAACTTTTGGTCTTCGAGGGAATTATTAGTGAGCAGAAATTCGCCTGTATATCCGTTATCACTCGTTACACCAGTCAGTTATATAGAGAGATGACTCGTGTTTTCCTTTGGCGTTCGTCACTTCCGATTCAGGAAACCTGTATTACTCAGCTGTCGTAGCAATTATGTCTGTGTTAAAATTATATTCGGAATGTGTTTAACCAGCTCTATCACATATGTGATAATGACTGGCACCAATATTGTCCTTTAATCCGTTCGTTTGCACTAGACTGGAGTGAACCCGTCAAAGGAATTGAGGAATCGTAACAATATGTATATGGACTGCTTCGGGTAATCTGAACTTACTTCCACCTTTTCCGACTCTTGGACCCTTGGGCTGCTACCCACGGGTGTTAAAATACCATATTGTCATCATTGGCTAGTCTACTAAGAAGTAACAAAGTTAACATCAATAGATCAGTGTCAAGACTATAAAATACAGTCTTGGTGCTCGAGACTAGTTTAAGAACTCATGCGTAGAGACATGTATTTTTGTTGGGAAAACCCGGCATGTATTTTGTATACATATTTTGTTACGTAATACATTATCATATGGACGAGCTGCAACATAAAATGGACCGTGTATGTATATAAGCAAGGTACGAAATGTATTATTATCATTTAAAGAACGTATTATTATCAGTTTGTGACAATTATCAACTGAATCCTACTTTTCGTTTCATTTTCCTTATAGTTACGTAATTATTTTTCCATGAAGTTTTCTACTACATCTGATCAAAACAATTAGTCATATGCTTATGTGCAGCAGTTACTTAACCAGGGAACTGCAAACAAGGACGACAAGCAATGGCGTTTCTTGCTACATGAGAATTAGAATTGGGGAAGCAGGCTTAACTAGGTTATAAATACTACAGACGACAATACTTTTGGAAGGTGATCATTGTCTTTGGAGGTAATATCTGTCATACTTATTTCCAGTGACATCGCAGACAATCAAAGATAAATAATTCCTGAATTAATACCGATCCAGGAACAGTCAATGTATTTAAATTAGATCTTGGTTTACTTTCCGTTTTAATACACTAAATTGTATAACATTTCAAAATATATATAAAACGAAACGAAAAAACACGCCTACAATCTAGTTTAATAGCAGTTCAGGGACGTAACTAGCTCAGAGCAACGAGGGGAGCGGAAAATGTTCTCAGGGGGTGCTGTAAAATTGACGGACAATGTATATCTATTGTTTTTATGGTCGACATTTTTTTCATGGGGGGGGGGCCTAGTTACGGGTCTGTAACAGTTCAGTAATTCATTGAAAACACCGGAAAATAACGGAATGCTTTTATTTTAAAATTGCCTTGGAACGAGTAAGCGTATTGGTGATGAGAAAACACAGGGTCTAGCAATGTTAAGTTAGATACATTAAATTTAAATCAGATTTTTTTTTCATTCTGCATATTTTTTCCAAAAGGGGTGTGAATTAGCATTATCTCGGTTTTTGATGGGTCTGGTCAATTCACAGTAATTTCATATTTTCCTACATGACTCGATGTGTTCAATGTTTGATATAAATTTGTTCATGCATGTTTAAATAAGATCAAACTGATTCATATAGGCTACATCGGCAAATAATTATTGCCATGATTAGGCTATTATACAGAAGTTATTTAAAGATACATTTGCTGAAAATTTTGTATTCGCCGGGGATACCTATGTTAGACGCAATGCCTGTCAACTAAGCTTCATTTTATTAGGGTCCATTTTCAGAATGTATTTATCATTACTTACAGTACATTTACCATACACAGCTATAAGCTGTTATATTAGACGCAATGCCTGTCAAGTTAGCTTTATTGTGGAAGGGTCCATTTTTCAGAATGTATTTATCATTACTTACTGTACATTAGTCAAACATATTGAGGCCTAAGTAAATTCTTACTTATTTCTGTCAACTTCTTTTTCCGTCATTTAATTGCAGAGTCTTTTGTACGTTGACATCCCTCAATATTCCCAAAACCGCCTAACCATTTGATCAAGAAATAACAACCGCTCGCCCAGTTAAGCTGGCACACAATAAGCTGGCAGATAACAGTCGGGTTGCCAGTTAGTGCTCTCCCCATGGGCGTTTTTCGGGTAATCCAGTATTTTTCTAGTAAGATTGGGTGTCTATACTTTCCACATATACCAATTTTGACATACTTTTATTGGAAATAACCACCCGATAAATACTTTTCTGGGAAAGTAACTTTAAGTTCTCTAAATGGTGTTCTGTGTAATGTATAAAAGTCGTTACCTACAGCTAGATTTGGATAAATTAGGTACCCTGAAGATTAAAATCAACCAACGGCGTCATAGTCTGGTAATCCAAATATGGTATGTCATGCTTTAGAAAAGTGGACACCCTTCATTCGCCCATTACTCCTGGCTGCCCATATTAGAACATTGTGTTTAAATCCAGGGTAGCTACTGAGCTGCTGACCAATCGGCCAAACTCATGCACTTGTCCTCATTATAACAAAGAGCTCGACTAAGGTTTTTGTTTAGACATCATTCGAGGCTGGTACAGAAACATCGTGTAGATTTACCAAACAGCGTGTGAGTCTTGCCACCTTGAAGACTGTAAGGTATATGTTCAGATATCATTCAAGGCCAGGATAGAGACATTATGTGGGGTTCTTAGAAAGATGAACCCACAGCCTCCGACTCGAGACTGGCATAGAGATAACGTGCAGTGTTCCTAGAGAAATGGTTGAGCGAAACAGCCAGGGAAGACATCATGGATTGTATATCCGTGCGCAACGTTTAAATACCTATATGACTGTTGTTGTGTTGTTGTTGTTGTTGTTGTAGAACATATTCTGGTAACCTATACAGATACTTTGAATTTGAAAGGAATTTGGAGTTTTATACACAACGCAAGCAGAAGTCCTACCGATACACACGGCAGTCTCCCAAGGACAATGTGGCTGCCGGGACACAGGATAAGTGTCCCCATAGTGTCACATTAGTAGGATTAATTTAAAGGGGCATTATTGGGAGATAGGTAAAGAGCAGACAATTCTCGCTATAATAGTGAAAGAATAGATAACGGAAAGAGAATATGCTAAATTGTTCTACTCTGAATCGAGATATTAGCGATTTAATGTTAGGTCTAGCCTCGATTATCATTACTAAAGTCGTACGATAATAAACAAAGTCTCGATTATCCATTTTGACGTTAAATTATTCATGACAAAATGTATTCAAATCCAGTAAACTTCACAAGCTATAGATGGCATCCAGAGTTGATTATGGTTTGGACAAGTTAATTAATGCCTAATTAATAACTTATATAACATTTCAGGCCTAAAGAAAGACCTGCAATAGGCAAATTTAGCTGTTGCATAATGTGTGTTTAAGAGTGTGAATTATGATGGTCGACTTAACACTATGAATAGTTTTAGATCTGTATCATATATCGTGACAGTTGACAATATTAGATGTTACTAGTCCAACATATCATATTTAACAATCATATTTAACTAGACTATCTTCCTAAAGGAGCTAAACCTCTGACACAATATTTTCCATAATATTTGAAATTAAAAACACGAATTAGAATTCAGTATTGGTCCATTTCAATTAATAATGATGTTGGTATCTTGCCATGGAACACCCGGTCCAATATTATTACCGCCGAGTAGAAGGGGATAATAATAACGAAATAAATCGACCTATAAGGAGGTTTTTTTTTACCGTTCGATAAATTTATGACATCCATAAAGGCCCACTTTCAGAATATGCGTATCTTATGTTGTGATGTGGTTTGTTTAGGCTCGGTTATGTATAATATCTTGAAATTTTTTTTTTCTCCTTGTGAAGTCACCTCGACTGTCCCTGGATTTAAATCTTCCGTGTGCGTGGTTGACTTATGTTTCGCTAGGGTTAGGGTTAGCGTCTTGTAAACTGACCCTACATAAGCCACGTGTTGCCGTTCATGTCCCCATAATGGAGGTCACAAATTTACCGACATTTGGCCCTTCTAGGCGATAATAATATTGGATCGGGTGACATTTGGTATACCGCTAATTTCTTGTAACATTTCGTAAAAAATCTTGTCAGGTTGATTGGGCGGGTTAGGGCTAATTCCTCTACCGTTCGTTGTTTTTTTTTGTTTTACGACATACAATTTCATCCACAATGGTAGTACTGCGCACACTACTTACTTTAGAACAACATGCGGGCTATATATATTTTACTCTCTTTAGATAAACAAGAGTGTGTTATTCTGGTTCTTCTAGATTTATCTGCTGCGTTCGGCCATTTAATGATTAAATTTAAAAATGGAAAAGCGAGGTTAAGTCTCGAATAATAGCTATACCGTTGATACGATAATAAACAATAAATGCATTAGCTTGTGAAAACAACAAACAGTGCTATATAGATACCTTCGTCCAGAATAAAGTAATTTGAATGAATTTTTCAATATATTCATTCTGCATTATCTACTTTTGAACTATTATAGCAAGAACGACCACTCATGTACACAAATATTACATAATTCATCTTTGATAAAGAAATTAAGTTTAGCAGCCTTCCAATCACAGCTAAAAATAAGCTACGTTCTCCTACTTAACAACTTAACAAGTGGGCCAGCCCTTCAATCGTTCCAGTCGTACACAGACAGTTGGTATCAAAGGTTCCCCATCCAACTCAACGGTGTTAAAGTATGGCGTGCAACAGGGTTCCGTTCTCGCCCTTTATTATTTACTACACACACACCATCTTTAGGAAATGTCATTCGTAAACCCGTAATATGTAATAAATTCGTATCTGTAATATGCGAACTTGAGGCTTGTTTATCAGATATTCGTAAATGGGTGGACTCAAATTTATTAAAACTCAACGATGACAAAACAGAAATAATGAAAGTCGGCAGCAGACGGAAACTACTAAGATCGAAAACAGAAAACTGTCAAATTGGCAATATCTCTATTACACCAACAAATTCTTGGTGTTTATTTTGACTCTAATCTGGACATGAATAGGCAAATTTCAGCCATGTGTAAAAGTATTAATTTTCAGATTTATAATATTGGAAAAAATAGATCTTTCATTGACAGTGATAGGACTAAATTGCTGGTAAACACTATGATTATATCAGGGCTCGACTACTGTAATCAATTTTTGTACAATGTACTTGAAAACAAAATAGAACGACTTCAGAAACTTAAAAATAAAGCAGCCCGGATCATAACCAAATGAACATGACACCAATACTGAGAGATCTCCACTGGCTTCCAGTCCGTCAACGTATCAGTTTTAAAATACTGTCTAGAAAGGGCTGACAAAAACACAAGAAATTCATATACGAATCAAAAAGCAATTGCTTCCGGTCTACTCTAAGACGATGTAAACAGATTGGTTCACAGACAAGCAAGGCCACCGGGTTTCTAGGAAGTGGCATATAAAAGATTACCGGGATATTTATCAAAGGGCTGGTGACATTACAACAACAGTCTCTTATTTTGTTTAAAGGTTTGGATCGTTTGCACCGACGAAATCACGTTTGTATTGCTTTACTTTCAGCATTAATGTTTCTAGGATCTTTCACATCGAAACACCACATCATTCAATAAAATTACATAGAACACAGAATAACCAAGTTATTCAATATGATTACTCCGCACACAGAATATTCAATAAAAAAATAATATCCATGGCTGCTCCTTTAACAAGACCTTAAAGATACACAAAGGAAATGAAATGGAATGGGGTTTAACGTCCTACTTTTCTGTACAGATTGGGCTAAATACTAGAAGACGACCCAACCGGAACATTTGATATTTGTTGTTTTTTGGGGGTTAATTTTTTTGGGCGTATTTAAATTTGTATCACTTCTATTTACAGTTATGAAATTCTCGATAGATCGGGAAGGATATCTAGGTTGATAGCAAATAAAAAAAATATCCACATAAGTAAGGAACTCGCCAAACATTGCTAAAGGTAAGAGACGTATTCACCTCATTTTAAATCATTTTTGATGGCGTTATTTATGAATACGCCCACATAGCGTCGATTTAAAAATTAGAATAGTTTATCAAACTTTTTTGTGTTAATACTAAAATAAATTTCAACGACCTATTTAAGGTTGGTTATACACCAAGGTCATTTATTGCTCAACTGAACAACATGCTTGAAATCTAAACACACAAACACAACAACAAATGAATTCGTATTTAAAGCGATAATTTCATATTTTCTAAGAAAGTCAAAACATAATTATTTCTATGTCTTGTGCCCAATAGGTTATCAACTCACTATTATACGATCATAGGTATTATCTCCGACTTGACCCCGGAAATAATAACACAATTACCTCCCTTGTTTTTCTATTCCCTCCATGGAATATAGCTATCTTCAAACGTTTGAATTTAAAGTTGAAAATGATATTTTTGCCAATTTCTCAACTGGCAATTAGTGAATTAAAGGATTAAAATGATTATTCTTTAACAAGGTAGGACTGTTTATAGATACCATCTATTTTAAGGCTTTATTTTAATAAATTTTAAAAATATAACTTAAGAATATGAAATTGCAACTTTAATCTATTTAAAAACTCTGAGACATTTCTATTAATCACACGGTCAATATATTCCATAGACTGTTTCTATATTTAATCCTTTAGTGGCATTTAGCGATTGGAAATATTACAGAACTAACCGTTATTTGGGACAACAATCACTGGTGTATTATACACAAGCACAACGTTTCGATATATCAAGCACAACGTAGTTATCGAAACGTCGTGCTTGTCTATAATAAACCAGTGATTGTTGTCCGATATAACTGTTAGTTCTGTTTATATATATGAGACAACATAATAATAATTTATGATATTCATAATAATATTATTTCACTATTACGTGACAAATTGCCCGTACATGCATATGTTGTACACAGCTAGTCACGTGAATTATTACATGATGATGAATGTGGCGTTGATCGATAATCAATATAATTTATTGATTTCTGCAATTATGCAAGAGCTAGATCTGCCTATTGTCGGTCTTTCTTTGGGCCTGCAATGTTATCTAAATTATTGATTAGACATTAATTAACTTTTCCAGACCGTAATCAGCTCTCGATGGCATCGCTAGCCTGCGATATTTACTGGATTAGGATCCGATTTACTGCTCAACTTTCATTCATGATTTAATCATGAAATGGATAATCGAGACTATGTTTTTTATCGTACCGACTTTAGTAATGATGATAGAGGCCTAGGCCGAAAATTGAATTGCTAAATTCTCGATTCAGACTGGATCAATTTGACTGAATTTTTCATCAAATTCCCTTTACATTATCTAGGTTTAACTATTATAGTGAGAACTGCCAGTTCTTTAATTAATCTTCCATAATGTATCTTATGGATGCATTATAATCGTACCCAAATATAAATTAGCGTGAAGTTGACATTAGTTCAATTCGAGATAAAATTGAATTATGTGTTTGAAACCAAATTTAACCTAGGTTGTAGAATCTGTCCAGCCCCAGTTTGTCAACGTGAAATAGATGCTAACTGGTGTTCATACGGCTAGATATAAATATTAAGGCCACCTGCAGATTTCGTCAGAGTCGCCGAAATGTAAATAGAGTTAGGGCACGTGATTGTTGACGAGATTGTGGGGTTTGGTAAGGTTTATGGCTAGTCCTGTGTACATCTCTTGACCTTTGACCAAATCTGCAGGTGGCCTTAATAATTAGATATAACCGTGTTATACGTATAAAACAAATTATTTGCCATACAAAGCTTTAAAACAAAACATTTCCTTCGTTCGTTCCTGGAGTTTAACGTCCACTTCCACCAATTGTGATATCGTAGACAAGTTTAAAAGCTATCTACCACTTAGATTAGTCGTATTCAAACAATTGGTGGATGTAGTCTGTTACGTGTCTTCCCAAACAACATCATGACGTTAAATTTACGTAAAATTTACATAAAAGTATTATAGTTGGTTTACCATCACTTTGCCTATCTTTTTAACGTTAACTTAACGTCAGAAAATGACGTTAAACTAACGTAAAAGTTTTAATGTGAACAGTTCGTCATAAGCCAAGAGACCCGTTTAAAATGGAACTGTCTTGACATACCACGGGCATGGGGTGGGGGTATACTTGCTCAATTCAGGACTACCGTAAACATTCTTAGTTCCCTTGAGCGAGAGGGGTGGGGGAGCTCGTGGGCATTTTAATTTAGATAATTCTCTTCACGTACTGATCTTTAGCAGTGGATAGGGAGGAGATTAAAGAATCCAGAGAATATCAACGACGTTAGTTATAGGCTACTCTACTGATTGTCACGTATCATCATGTACCAAAACCCCGTTCTACGCCGTCTTAAATAAGTTACTTAAAGATACATTAGTTAGATTAGTTAAAAGTTTAATAAAAAGTTGGCCATAGATGATAATAAAGGAAAATATTGAAAATTTCAGTCGAATTACTTTATTCGTTTGATTGACGGCGATAATTCCACCCATATATTCTCGATTATCAAGTAACATTCTCAATGGCTATGGTACCCTCGCTTGGTAGGCTTTTCATTGGGTCTCCAGTAGTGACGTCAGTGACTAACAGTAAACGTTAGCTTTGTCAGCCATTCATTGATTTAATTTTAAATGGACGACTGTTTAAGTTTAAGCTGTATCCAAGCCATCCAAGGGTTTACAGGGTTGATTTTGGGCTTGTCATGTAAATAAGGGTCTAATTGATAATTTCTATAACATCTGCAGCCTAACTAAAGACTTGCAATAGGCAGATTTAGCTCTTGCATAATGTATGTTTAAACTATACATGTAAGTTTTACATTCATTCCCAGGAAATATATTATTTCGATTAGTACACTATCACATGAATGGCGTTTTAAATATAGTAGGTAATGCACAAAAACATGGTCGCCAGGTCACATTTTGAATAGAACAGTTTGAAAAGAATTAAATCTAGGGACTATTGAATGGCGTTTTAAATATAGCAGGTAATGCACAAAAACATGGTCGCCAGGTCACATTTTGAATTGAACAGTTTGAAAAGAATTAAATCTAGGGACTATTGACGGTGTGCAGCATAGCGTGCTTATTGTCACAAACAACTGTATGAATAACAAGTGATTTTAATTGTTTATAATTTTATATAAATTGGTTACTCGGCAAGGGAATTGTAGATAGGGAAGGTAAGGCAAATCCTGTTTTGCTAAATTGGAACTGGAATCAGAGAGGATATTCTTTCGAGATTGCTGCCACCATAACCTTTTCGAGTGAAATTGTCCATTGTGAACTGAAAAGCAACGTAGTAATGTTTGAAGCCTATTAGTAATCCAAATTCCACTAACTACACGGGTAATACACGCTGATCGGTTTATATATATTTAGGTATACAGTTTCAATTAAATGAAATGTATTTGATAGACTTACTTTTCTGAACCAAACGGGCTACTGAATATGCCATTTAATTCAATCAATTTTGATTGATGGCACCTTCTAAACGGATGAAAAAAAAACGGGACTGGAGCCTGAAGCACCCTGGGGATTTTAAACTGCTACCATAAGGTGCCGTAAGGTGCGACTAGGTAAAACTAATTCGTTGTTCGAATGGGTCAGCTTCAGCATTCGTTAGTTTACACCACACCACACCACACCAAGAAGAAAATGAGTTAGTGTGTGTCCTACTTGACAAGTGTTACCGGGCTTTTCGAAGTGGGAAAGCATACTCTTACTCGTGTACTACACCGGTCAGTAGTATTTCCTTTCGATTTAAACGATTAATATAATAGACTAAAGCATAATTTTATTTGTCAGATTCAAGTTGAGATTGCATGGTATTAACAATAGGGAAGATAACTCGATCCTTCACAGTCATCAGAGAGCCACCATGTATTCGTGTATTATGTGCTGTATGTTGCAAGCTGTTGATCCAGTATTCCTGGTGTTTGTTTTGATTGTAACATGGAATTTATATGTAAATGCCGAGACAGATAATTTTCAAACTGAATCAGAACCAGAACACCAGACTGATGATTCCGAAACAGATAGTCATAGTAGCAATGTGGATAGCTTGAGAGATGAAAGAAGCGACGTAATTAACGGTAAGTACAGAAACATGATATAGAAACTTTAAATTATTCAAATTGAATTTCAAAAATATTATCCGGTCCGAGATGTGTTGGGAAAATACATAAAATCAATTATGAAAAGTCCAAATATCCGATTAATATAATATAATGTTAAATCCAACATTTAATAATAATGTATAATTCCGCATGTATAGATATTATTAACAATTTATATGGAAATGGTTTAGGTTCATAATTCCCCCGACTAATCCGAGTAGAGCATATGCAGATAATATCAAACAAATTAAGAACCATCTATAGATTGTCTATGGATATATATTGATAACGTATAATGTTTAACATTTTATTTTGTTTTATTCAACGTCGGCTTCCACAGAAGGGGTAAGGCAATTAAGCATTTAAGTCGGGTAAGAACTGGTCAACGAAATTTGATTCCACGTCCCTTTTTTAATGGTTTCATCAATTTCGACTTTATAAAAGGGAAAGATACTAAATTTAATATTTAAATTTTTGGAACAAGTTTTTTTTAGGAGTTTAGAAACACATAGAAACAATTAAGGACAGACAGAAGACATTTAACATGCAGACGAAGACATACACTCTAAATATGGTTACAATAAGGGCGCATTGTTTATACAATTAGAGGAAGAAATGGGGTTTAACGTCCACTCGACACACACTAGGTCATTTCTGGACTAACATATGGTTCAATTTTTCCCAATAATTCGCTTGTGCGTAGTGGTCTTTAGAAGTGGGGGGGGGGGGACACGAGGTTGGACAGGTGATCCTACTCCTTGTCATGTACAAGCGGGGAATCGAAACCACGCCACTTGACTCAAAGACAGACCTTCTGATCCAACGCGCACACGTTATTCATTCGGCCACCAGGTTTATACAATACATATGTGGGACAGTATATCATAACCTGCCAATACTGTTTAGAAATTTAGGAAAACTTAGTAATATAAACTCAGACTCCATGTTTACACCCCTCGACGAATGCTGGTGTAATGTGCATCCCTTGAAGTTGAATACAGGATTTGAGATGGTATTTCATCAACATTGGAAGATTTGTATATTACGTTTATACACCAGCTGAAAGATAGCAAAAAGTGGTGTACACACTGCTAGTTCCCTTGAAAAATATTTAGGTACACTTTCAATGTACGTGTTTCTTCGGGTGGAAAATATTTTGTTTTTTGTTTTCTTAAATACACAACTTGAGCAGAGGGTTAGGGTTTCTCTTTCCGAAAACTTCAAGTGATGCACATAGATTTTAAGCAGCAAACTATTATTTGTATTGCTATTGATGTTTGTCAAAGTATTGTCCGCATATTTACTTCTTGGGGTGTAAAACAAATTTAATCTATCACTAATTAAAGATTCCACCCGTTTAGCACCCAATGCAATAATCTGGTTAAATATTATGTTGGTTACTCAAAAGATAGTTGTCCAGTTTGACATGTCCTTAGACCAATAAAGTTAAAGTTACCTCCCTTGAGTAACATATTAAATCCACTGATAATTATGTCTCGAATTGAAATTATGCCGTATAAATAAGTTGCCGGATATTACATTCCAGTGCATCAATGACCGGATATAAAATATTTATCTCGACTCGGACTGGGGAGTCGTGACGACTCGCGACTTGAAAGAGCTAAGGACCCAATCGCGGCGAGCGGGCATAACTCTAACTTAACTTATTCGTCATGAAATCTCGACTTTGTGAGGAATTGGGAGTCGACTCGGACTCGCGGTTCCGCGACATGCTCAATTCTAGTAATTAGGTTCATTGAATACCAATGGTAATATTATTATCTGCATATATTGTATACAATAATAGTAAATTATTTATATTGTACTGGTTTATTTACCTAGATAAAGATGTTTCTTCTGATGAAAGATGGCACCTAGAACGTCAACGTGCGATCCAACAATCGAAATTGCAAATGTTATTAGAAATCGAGAGAGGCTCATATAAAGAGCGGCAGTGTGAATCTACGGACACAATCAAGAAAATCGAAGACAACATTAAAGTTATTAACGAACGAATTAAGACGTTGGAGACCGCTAGTCTTCCAGGAAAACACAAAGACTCTTCAGCTGCATCAAAAAAAGTCCAAGGTAATGGTTTTATCACCCAATACAGCACTGCGTAATATAGATCGTATGTTAATAGTTTACCTAATGTCTGTTGCAATGCGTCCTCCGTTCATAGTGTAGCGTTGGAGGAGAGTGTCCTTTAGCTTTACGAACCCGGGATGTCCGAGGGTAGGGCATAAGGTCTGTTGTCTAAGCATGGTTGTGACGAAACATTGGGTCATGTGCCCGCGCGCATAATCTTGTGGGTTTTCAATGGGTTCTCCGGTTTCCCCATGTCTGCCGAACGTTTGCTCTAGCAAATTATCTAAATAATAATCTTTTAAAAGCATATATACTTGTGATAAATTAAATCGCATACTCATCTATTTTGACATCAGCTATATCATCACGGATTGATCTAGTAAAACTCCCGACCAGAAGCTCACTTAACCTACAAAAATATCCAAATAAAATCCATATGGAAGGATAAGTGGGAAGCATTGGACTAAATCCCAAAGACTTGCTTTTTACAGGAAAGAAGTGTGGCATAATGCAGAAATCTAACTAAAATCCATAATAGACTAAATCCACACAGACTGTATTTTTTTTACAGATAAACAGACTGGCAAAATGCGAGATCCTGACTACAACAATATACAGACACACATGGTGTACTTACTAGACAATATACAAGATCCTATATATCTCTGTTTATCGCTGTTTTCACATGGGGTTTTTGATTGGGATGATGTGGAAAAAATAAAGAGATGCCATGCCATTGGAACTCGGGAAGCAACTGAAAAACTACTATTCATTTTAATGTATTGTGGCGAAAACGCTTACGGGCGATTTTTAGTGTGTCTCAGAGACGTTGGCCTGGATCAAGTGATCAATGAGCTTGAACACAGCAGATATGGTGAGTACATTATTCATGATTGTTCTATCCAGGGTGGACAATGTTCATCAATTCACACACTAAATTTCATCAAATGGAATGGGGTTTACATGAGCATGAACCATATTTGAAGTGTCGTTTTTATGCTGTAATAGATGCTAATGGACATTTAAGGTGTATAGTTAGTATTTTGTCATCGATGCTAGTGAACATGTTAATTCGTCGTATATCGCCCAAAACAATAGAGGGGAGTTATTGTCCAACAAATGATAAATTTCAGAATCAAGGATGTGATATTTTGAAACATCTCTTCTGCTTAATTTCATCTCTACATTTAACTCAATCTGTATTTTTTTCAGGAGAGTCAAACCGCCAAGGAAGTGAGGAACAAAGATTACTAGCAGAAAGGCGTGGACTTCAAGAAAGAGTGAAGGAAAAGGAAGAACAACTTCGGGAAGCAGTAACAGAAAAGGAACATAATTTTCAGAAATTGCAGGAAGACAATCAACGTATTAATATGGGGCTGGTTGAACTCAGAAATCAGATGATGAAGATGGAGACGGAAAAACAGGGCGACAAAGATGAGAGGAAGCAAGAAATTAGTCTTCTAAGAGAAAAGGAAGATGAACTTCTAAACGTCCAGAAAGAAGTAACTGAAAAACAACAAAGAATCCCAAACGAGATACTGAATCTGGAGTCACACGTGGAATATTTAAAAGCAGCAACAATAAGTGGAGATAATGTTGAGTCTGATATTACAAATCTTTGCACTTTACTTCAAACATGTGCGACGGCAGCTGATGGTAAGATGTTTTATAAGTTTACCCCATAGGTTTTGTCCAGTAATTTATCTGTGATGTTGTAGTACCATTGTTTGGGATACTTCCGCGTTTGCTGTAATCTGATATGAGATATGCCTATCTCAGGATTTCTTATCCGAAAGAAAGATGATAATTTATTAGTATCTGACAGTCAGAAATTCATATACTTCAAAGTACGGAGGTTTCCCCACGGATAATCTACCACATAAAAGAACCTCCTGGTTACGCGTAAGCAATATCAATTTTGAGTTAAACTCAAGAGATAAAACCCATAATTCATGCATTATTATACGAATTTGAATCGTGACGATATAAACGATAGACTTTTATGAAATGACAGTCCCTCAATTAATTTCATGGATGTCGACATTTTGTTTTAGGGCTATTTTCATTTCTTATTACGTTCTCTGACTGAAACAAATATTTCGTAGAATATTTGTCTGAATGACTAGAGACTAATAATATTTATTTATAGTATTTTAAGGTTGTATTTCTTTAAGCAAAGTCATAAGTTATAAATCACATGAACAATGTTTTATTTATATGAAACATCATGAATTATTACATAAGTTTCAACTCGTATATCAGTTAAATTGGTATATAGAAATTGTTGATAAATTTAATTTTTTTCATTTTTTTATACCCTCACATTTTCATGTAGAGGTATTATGTCGTCGCCATTGTTCGTCTGTGTGTCCGGTCATATTTGTTTGTGGACACTCTACAGGTCACAATTCCTGTCCGATTTTATATCCCAAAGATCTCGGGTATCATATCGTAATTTCATGGATTATATCATCTGATTGTACGAAAAATGGCGTTTTGATACGTAGATACTTACACATTGCCCCTGAGTTTACAAAATATCGCATTTTTAGCTTGTGAATCCTCAAGATGTTAAAATGTCTATCCGAGTTCGACGAAACTTAAATATATGTTTATATCCCAACGATCGCGATTCCTGTCAATATTGGAGAGTATCGACCCGTAGAAGCCACTGTTGGATTTTGGTGCATCGGGCCTTCCGTTATATCCACTTTTCCGAAAACTTGGCGAATGATATAATAGCTATATTGTGTACCATATGTTTTCCAAATTTGGGTTGAAGCATGAGATAATTAGCGTTTCAAGACCTTTCGTTCCAGAGTTATGCCCCATACATCGGAAAACTTTGTGAATCCTTCTCATTTTTGGTGTCTAGCACGAGAGAACGAACTCTATCGATATTCAGTGGTACAAAAACCTTCCATTCTAGAGTTACCCACATTTGCCGAAATTATATTTAACGGATTTGTCTTAAATTTGGAATTAGCGATCTGTGACATTTGTTTCCGAAGTTACCCATTTCGTTTAGAAAACATTATGAACGTGATAGATGATGCAATTTTTAATAGATTTATTTCAGTTTCGTTGTGGTGCATTGGGACAATGAGAGGATGAACCGTATTGATTTGCCAAAATGTTGGCGTGTATTGCATGACAACCGCTTGTTTTATGTGTAATGTTTTGTTTTGCGTTTTAGTCGATGAGTTTTATATTAATTATATGTATCTACTTAGATAAAGAAATTTCTTCTGAACAAGAGGAAAGATGGCAGCGAGTAGGTCAACTTATGATCCAACAATTCAAAGATCAACGGGAGGGCGAAATATCAAATTTGCAAAAGCTATTAGAAAGCGAGAAAGGCTCGTATAAAGAAAGAGAATCAGAATTTGCGGATACAATCAGTGAACTCAAAGATAACATTAAAGATATCAGCGAACGAATCAAGACGCTTGGGAGGCCTAGTAGTCCAGGACAACATAAAGACTCTTTAGCTGCACCAAGGATACTACAAGGTAAAATAAGTGTTTACAGTAGATTCCATCTGTTTGATATTTATCAATGTATGCTGTAATATCTTCTATTGCTGTGATATGTTAGGGGAGTGGTTTGATGAGGTAGCAGTATATTTTAAATCCTGTTATTTAGGGAAGTTATAGGATCGTTACCAATCATGTGCATAAACATGTGGGTAGTCTTCTGGTGCTCCGGTTTCCGCCGACTTCTAGCGACCGCTGCACACTACCAGTCCATTTAGATAATATTCCTTTAAAAATGATCTTGCTGATATAAAATCGTCCATTCTTCTGTTTTATGAAACCAACAATCTCCCGAATACCGTACCTAACATATTTTACCAGGCTTACCCTGCAAAATGAAAGGAAATGGGGTTTAACGTCCTACTGTTCTGCTCCGCACTGGGCTAATGAAGACGGGCATACGCCATACAGTGTGCTATAGGGAGATTTTTGTCCAGACAGTGGCACTACGGCCTTACTCTTATATCGAATCCAAACTGTCAAGGAATCTTTTACGTGCACGCCAATGTGTACATGGTACCTCGTTTTTTCGTCCAATCCGAACGACTAGACAGCTGTCCTTGCCAGGCCCTCCGTCCTGCATCAATGACAAGTGGGAACCACGCCGAAAAATCTGCATGAATTTTTTCGGCCAATGCAGGGATCGAACACCCGATGTCCATGCTAGCGAGCCAGTGTCTTACCCACTGTGACCGACGCTTTACCCTACCAATGATAAACAAATAAAATTCATAATGTATACAGAATGCCTTCTTATTTCTTGCAGGAAGGCGGAGAAGCAAAATGCGAGACCCTGACTTCCACAATATACAGACACACCTGGTGTACTTACTAGATAATATACGAGATCCCAAACGTCTGTGTGTATCGCTGTTTTCACATGGAGTTTTTGATCGGCATGATGTGGAACTAATATACAAATGTTATGACGATGGAACTCGAGAAGCAACTGACAAACTTCTGATGACTGTAATGTATTGTGGTGCAGATGCTTACCAGCGATTTTTAGAGTGTCTTAGAGACGTTGGGCTAAATCAAGTGATCAATGAACTTGAGCAAAGCAGATATGGTAAGATAATTATTCATGGGCGGTGTAGAGTGATCACAGATGTCGCCAATTCATACATGAAGTATATTTCATCAAATTGAATCGTGCATTTCTCACAGATTGACATGAATTAAAATTGGTTTTAACGCCCCACTTTTCCGCAAAAGCTAGGCTTGTGACGAATGCAGATTTGCCGAAAGCGAATTAAAGTTTGTGTAGTTTTATATGCCATTATCGATGCTGGGAAGTGATATTAATTAGAGGGGATAGTATTATCCAACAGGTGCTTCATTTCAAATTAGAGGAAATTTCAGACTTGCGCTGCGATATTTTGTAACATCTCTTCTGCTTAGTTTACATTTCAACATTTAACTCAGTCTTTAATTGTTTCAGGAGAGCCAAGCGACCAACAAACCGAGGAACTAAGATTAATAGCAGAAAGGCGTGGACTCCTAGAATGGGTGCAGGAAAAGGAAAAAAAGCTTCAGGAAACGGTGAAAGAAAAAAGGCATGATGTTGAGGAATTGCAGGTAGAAAATAAACGTATTAATATGGAGCTAGCTGAACTCAGAAACGTGATATCAAAGATGGAGAAGGAAAAACAGGGCGATGAAGACGAGAGAGAACAAGAAATAAGTCTTCTAAGAGAAAAGGAAGATGAACTTCTAAAAGACAAGAAAAAAGTAAAAGAAAAACAACAAAGAATCCCAAACGAGATACACAATCTGGAGTCACAGATGGAAGATTTAAAAGCAGCAACAATCAGTGAAGATAATGAATTGCCTGAGATAGAGGCTGATATTACAAATCTGTGCACGTTACTTGAGAAATGTGCGTCGGCCGATGATGGTAAGAGGGTTTTATATGTGTTTGCCCTGATTAATAATGTATATCATAAGTGCTGTCCGCTTTCTATACACTAGTCAATAAATGATGTGTCTTTTTAGCAGTGTAACTGGGGGGGGGGGATGCGACAGCATCAATTGTGAAATATTTGAAATAATGCAGGTTATTAGGGTGGAGATTGTTTTGTTTTTCTTTTGTTCTCGCAGCGCTCGACATGCTATTTCATATAAGGAATCCTTTAATGATCCTGAAAATATAACTGTTTTCCCCAAATGTAGAAGGGAATAAGTCGAAGGCACTGGATTAAATTGTTCATCATACCTGCAATAGTAGAATTTCTCACTGATTATTCGACGTAATAATATATTTACAGATGGTTGTTCTCAACTTAAAGGTGAAAATCAAATTACTACTGAACACACTACTAGTATTACCATGACCGAAGATGATGTATCATATGATATTCTTGATGAACAAAGTTCCATAAACAGGCCTGTAGAACTCGAAATGGATGAGACAGCTAACCAGGATTTGCAAAATGTAAATATCTTGAACCAGGCTGTAGAAAAAGGCTACACAGGTAAAACAAAATATGTTTTTTGTGGTAATTAACTCATTTTCATTTTGTGCTTAGAGTAAAGTCTCTGTAATATTAATATTAAAAAGTCGTGACACACACGGTACCATTGGAGGCCATTTAATTGCCTTTTTAACACCGGCACGAAACAATGTTGCTATTTTCTTCTCAAATAAATCCAGCAGTTAACGTAATGACATCCACTCATTTTTAGAAGTATGGATAGGATACCGGATACTGACTTCACTAGTTAGATGTATTGAATATCAAACTTATTATGTGCACATATTAAAACAATATTACGTTGTAGTAATATTATATTTAGCAGTATAACCAGGATACTGGATCCTGACTTCACTAGTAAGATTCAGTGAATACCAAACTCATTAGGTGCACATATTAAAAAAATAATATTGTTGGATTATCTTCCCAGATAAAAATATTTCGTCTGAAACAGATAAACGATGGCACGATGAACAACAACTCGTGATCCAACATTTCAAAAATAAAAGGGATAGCGAAATATCAAAATTAGAAAGCGAGAAAGAGAGAGGGTTTGATTCTAACGGTACAATCAAGAAACTCGAAGATCACATTGAAGATATCAGCGCAAGAATTAAGACACTTGAGGCACCTAATAGTCCAGGAGAAAATAAAGAATCCTTACCTGTACCAAGGAAATTTCAAGGTAAATGAGTTTATCACCATTAAAGCCAATGATCACTGCGTGCAGGTAAATCATTTATTTCTTCCAAAACCTAATGCCCATAATGAAGTAAGACTTAACCCCACAGCTATCAGATACATGTATATGAACTTAATAATTCAGGGCAGAATTTCCATAATACTCTACTTCACAGAATTAACCCTCTAAATAGAAACTACTTAAATTCCTAATATATGGTTATGGTAAGTGTGACTAAAATCAAGCAGTCTCTACTTCATTTTGTCTTGCAGATAAACAGATTGGAATGATGCGAAAATCTGACTACCAAAATATTCAAGAGCACATGATGTACTTAATAGACAATATACAAGACCCCATACGTCTGAGTTTAACACTGTTTGCATGTGGGGTTTTTAACCGGGATGATGTGGAAAAAATAAAGAGATGCTATAACATTTCAACTCGAGATGCAACCCAAAAACTGCTTTTCATTGTAATGTACAGTGGTGTGAATGTTTACCAACGATTTATAGAGTGTCTTAGAGAAGAGGGTTTAGATCAAGTAGTCAATGAGCTTGAACAAAACAGACATCGTAAGTTAATTGTTCATGGTACATTTTTTCTATCAAGAAGTGGTGTGTAGGAATCACAAGGGTCACCAATTCCATACAAAAACTGATTATAGGTGCAGTGATACTGGGTGGGTGGGTGGGTGGGGGGGAACATTTTGTCAGTACAGCAGTGTCCTGCATGGTTTCGCTACACAGGCGTTTTTATTGTAAAAATAAAATATACTCTTTTATCAAATCAAATCGAAAGTCATCGCCTAACAAAAACATTTAACCGAATCTTTATCTGTTTCAGGAGAATCGGACCAGCAGCGAAACGAGGAACTACGATTAAAAGTTGAAAGAGTACAAGAAAGTGGAGAAAGCCTTAGAGAAGTAGTAAAAGAAAGGGAGTCTGATATCCGAAAATTGAAGGGAGAAAATGAACGTATTAATACGGAACTGGTGGAACTCAGAGATGAGATGGCCAAGCTGGAGAATGACAAACAGAGGGACAAAGAGGAAAGGATAATAGAACTTAGTCTTCTAAAAGAAAAGGAAGAGGCACTTCTAAAACACCACAAAGAAATAGACGATAAACACAGCAAAATCCAGAATGATTTAAAGACTTTGGAGTCCCTTATTGAGAATATAAAAGCAACAACAATCAGTGGAAAATCAAAAGACGGTAAGACAGCCTGCTCTAGCAAAAAATTTAAAAACATTCACAAAATTGAACACAATAATTTAAAAATTATAAATAAATAAATAACAAAATTAAAAACAAAATTGATTTACAAAATCAATTTACAAAATTAATAAATATTTTTTTAAAATTAAAAAAAAAACAACATATTTTACAAAATTAAAATAATAATTTACAAAATTAAAAATAATAATTTACAAAATTAAAAATAATAATTCATAAAATTAATTTTAAAAATAATAATTTATAAAATTAATTTTAAAAATAATAATTTATAAAATTAATTTTAAAAATAATAATTTATAAAATTAATTTTAAAAATAATAATTTATAAAATTAATTTTAAAAAAAATAATTTTAAAAATAATAATTTTAAAAATAATAATTTCAGTCAAATTGCTTCACTTTTGTTGAATTTTAGGCCTAGCCTTGATTATCAGTACTATAAGTCAGTACATTCTCGATTATCTATTTAAATTATCCATCACAAAATGTATTCAATCCAGTAAACATTGTACCAAATTAAATATTAATTTAGCAAATTAAATATTAATTTAGCAAATTAAATATTAATTTAGCAAATTAAAAATTAATTTAGTAAATTAAATATCAATTTACAAAATTAAATATCAATTTACAAAATTAAATATTAATTTACAAAATTAAATATTAATTTACAAAATTAAATATTAATCTACAAAATTAAATATTAATCTACAAAATTAAATATTAATTTACAAAATTAAATATTAATTTACAAAATTAAATATTAATTTACAAAATTAAATATTAATTTACAAAATAATATTTTATTCATCTGTAAATATGATCTATTTACAGGTGCTGACCAAGAACAACTTACCAGATCTAAGAAAAGAACGCATTTTTCTAATTTAGACGACGCGTGCTTAAGGGGGGATTTATATAATGTAAGGCGCTTAATTGACTCGGGGCACGACATATATAAAAGGTTCCGTGACGGCATGACACCCTTATTGTTTTGCAGTCAGTCCGAAATTGAACCCGTCTCTAAAATGAAAATGATACTAGATAAAGGTGCTAATATATATGATACAGATACAGACAATAACAATGTGTTGCACCTAGCTTGTGGCTATAGTCATCTTGCTACAGTGGAATATTTGTTAAATCTGGGTTTATTTGATAACAGCGGGGGTTTTAAGGATAAAACACCAATATTATGCAGCAGCGAGTCACCAATTGAGCCTGTTTCTAAGATTAAAATGATACTAGATAGAGGTGGCAATATAAATGATAGAGATACAGAAGATAATAATATACTGCACCTGGCTTGTAAGTGGGGTAGTCTAGAAACTGTAGACTACTTACTACAGGTGGAGGGTTTAGATGTTATGAGCAGAAATAAATTCGACCGAACACCTTTAGATTGTTGTCGGTCCTCATCTATTCAGTTAGACGAAAAGATTCAATTATTCGAAGATAAGATGCAATTATCAGGCAAATATTATAGTCCGTTGTTTGATTTTTTCAATTAACTGTATTATTAACCTTTCCCCTAATCGATATCCCGAGTAGCGATCACAATTTTAATACACTCTATCAATTTTAATAGATTCATACTTTTTTATTAGTTGCTAAAGTATGTGCTTTAGATCTCGTGGTCTGCGATCTATGCGTTTCATGGGTTCGATCCCAGCCCTGTAGTGATATGTCAACTAAGCTGTTCTATGCATCATCGATCAACTTTTTTGCATTATAAATAACTAAGCTGTTATATGTAGCATATATTATTAATTAACCGAGCCTTTATATGGATCATCGTTATTGAAATCCTTTGATGGTTTCATATTAGTTATTGTTTTTGTTACCTTGTTGTATATAATTGATTTTTTGCCATTACACTGTCATTATTTACTTGATAACGACAAGAGGAACTTGTTGCAACGTAGTGTGAAATAAACTCAGTGATTGTTTTCCATATAAATTGTGTTTTATTATCATCGTTATTGTGTTATTAGTAATTAACAAAGCTTTGTTTATTAATTAACAAAACTTTTATGTGTATTAAACTGAGAATATAAGGTTTGTTATACTATAATTGATTTATATAAAACAATGACAAGGAGTATACTGTAAATAAAGTTATACTGTTAATGGTATATATAAATCTCGGATTGGGATAATAGAGATAACTATAGTGAGGTGATAACATGTGTTATAAAGTACACCAATAGTCATGCTGAGGACACGGAACAATATTGACGTAGTGGCACTTTCAATTACTTGGACTTACAATTAGCTTCTTTATTAATTGTATATTTTTGTTACATTTCGATGATTTTAAATTACAAAAAATAACGGAGCGCAACAAAGGGTATATCTTTATTATTTTCTTTAAATGCTTTTAGTATATCAAAATATTGATAATTTAATTAAAGCAAAAATAAATAGAATTTTCGAAGTTCAACGTTTCGATTTTTATTGTTTCTCCATTGAAATTTCCGTGCTTAATCTACCAACACCAACCAATTGTTACTGCCTTACCCCAAACAATAACGTGTGGTTGGTGTTGGTAGATTTGTTATTGTTTGGGGTAAGGCAGATTTTCTCTTATTGTTAGAGCAAAAATACATCGTGGTTGACTCATTTCTTCTAAATAGTAAAATAAAAAGTACCTAATCGGACATAATAATTGTGCAACAATAATATTTTCGGTAAGCTGATAGTGAAAAAACACCAATCAGTCAGGAGGTGATTGGTAGCTGAATAGCTAACTGGACGTGGACACTGTGCCTGACAAGGCATATACTGGGTGTGGGCGTGGTCTGCCTCTGTTGTTTTATTCCGTAAGCAATCGCCATGTTTGTTCTACAAATTAAAAGCAAGTATGGCGTTTTTTTAAGGCGTTAACTTGTTTTATCTAATTATTTTTGTAGTTTTGTAATCGGGGTTCCGCTTTAACACAATTATTTGATATCTATTATTAAATTTATATATTATCTATGATGTTTGTTTTATTTATGATATATACCTCATTGCGGTGACCATATATTTGGCGCAAGATAGCCTGGTTGAGACTGGCCTTACATGACAGTCCATTTCATGCTTTCATTCATTCAATTTGAATAGTCAAAACAATGTCAATGTAACTAGTAGACGATGGGACCAGAAAGCATATTGTAAGATGAAACACGTTTCTGTCACCAGTAGATAATAGCCGAAGCTGACGCCATTATATACTCTTCAAAAAAAGTAGGGGGTATTGAAATGCAAATACCTATGCAGGTTGTGATATGATAAATAGTCATGGACACTTGACATGCTTTGAGAGTATGTTCACAGGTGAAGAACTTATCGCCCAACAGAACCACTGAGCTGCACATGCGACACGCAATAGCGCCATACACGTGGGAGGGGTTCATTGTCAAATTTGACACTTCAAGGAAGGGTTGATGAAAACTGCCGCGTGCTGGTTTATCTATCCATGTTAGCATTCCTATCGGTTATTGCATAAGATTTACTGTTTAGCGTGTCTTTGTTTTAGTGTGTTAAGTTTATTTTCATCGGGAGACGTATTCGTCGACGTCAACGTCAACGTCACGGACAACACTGCAAGAATTGGCCGTGGCACAGCAAGAGGGGTGGGTCAGATTGCCACAAATCGTGATTGGACGGTTGATTAGGAGCATGCCACGACGAATTGTTGATTGTCTGGGGATTGGTGTGGCAATTACTCATTATTAAGACAAAAATCAAAAACGCACATTTTCACTTTGACGGTGTATCTCTTTGCGAGTGAAATGGGGACCTCAGATAAGCCGCCCATATGAACTGTTTATGTTCATGTGTAGGCAACTGACCTAGTATTAACATACACTGGTTACCTCTAATAAAAACAGCCGTGCATTTCCACAGTTTTGTATTGTTTCTGAATATCCCCTATTTTTTTTTTGAAGAGTATATTTAACTGATAAGTGGGATGTGGTTTCCGATCATTTCAAAAATGGATATTTTTAAATACAGCACAAACATAGAAGCTTAAGTCTGACAGAATTAGTCAGAATTATTTGTAACGTTCTATGAAGATCGGAGATCGTAGTCACCAATGTCATTTATAGCCTTATATAGGCTGCTAAACGTTTGGTTGAGACACTAAGCAGATAGCTCATCATGCAGAGGACAATAACCAGCCCTGGCGAACAGATTGAGAAGCTGTCAAAATGTTCGGGTTTTTTTCTTGATACTGATAGTATTTAGTAGGTAAACTAACATTTTCATTTATCTCGTCTGTGTCAATTAAAATCGCAGAACATTTGCAATTGTTTCATTGATCACCCGTTAATTTCATTTCATTTCAAATCAATCCAATGGAATACGTGTATATACCACGGTATAGACTAGGATTATATCAGTATACCAGAAAAGGTTAGACAGGTATCCACATTTTTGAAATATGAATCACAGTTTCCAAAAGTAACTTGTGATACACGCAGGATATCTTAGCATTAGGTCCAGCTATTTTAAGCACTATTGCTTTATGTTTATGTCCACTTGTGACATACATAATATATTAGCATTAGGCATATTTTAAGCACTATTACTGTATATACCCATTTGTGGATGTATATTGTGCCCCAACCCCCAATCCTTCGTCAACACAAAAAGGTGAAGGTTAAAAACACATTCCTTTTGGTACATATTGTAGAGAATGGTTCAGCTGGCAGTGGAAAGTTTTTATGCAAATATGTGTTATTACACTAGGCAAGTCTCGAAGTTGTTTTGAGTGGATGATGTTGCTAAACATACACGTGACTTCGTCATACTATCAGATATCGCCAACAGACATTTTATTTGATAAGGTATTAATTTATTGTGAACTTATTATGCAATTGTATTTCATCTTGTCTTTAGAAATAATATCATTCGTTGGCTTAAAATATATCTTGTAATTTAAGCAAACATGATTTAGACATTTTTAAAAAAAACCCAACAATAACACTTTATTAATTTATAGGCACACGGGAAATATTGAATCATTCCACAGTTTCAAATAAATGATTGTCACTTGACTACACTTATTGATGTAATAAATAATTCACTCTCGTCCATTGAGAATCAACGTTAGTGTAACCAACCGCTTATCACTTATCATCGAACTCAGTCAAGGTATTCTACAAATAAACGCCTAATAAATGTGACCTATCTCAACTAGGAGGAGAGTTATTGTCTTCTAAAGTCTCGAGCGATCAAATTTAAGTCTCTACTTAACCTAAGCAGAACTTTCATATCAATGCAAAGTTTACCTCGCGCATTCAACTAGAATCAAAGGTATCGTGCTCCAAAGTCTCGACCAATGAATTTTTCAAAACCCTGCCTAAAATGATCAGAAAAGTCTCAGGATCGAACTTAGTCAAGGTCTTAAATACAAATTATCAGTGTTTCGTTGTTTCATTTAAATTGTCAGTCTAGTTTATAGTTGAAAAAGTTTTGGTGTCGAATGGCCGAGATTTAATGGATTTGGACACAAGCCAGATTTAAAAGTTTAACGATCAATTGGATAATCGAGACTTACTGCAAAGGATCCAAAATAGTACTGCACGCATTGTGGCTACAGCAAGATCAAAATCACACAACACGCCCGTATTGAATAATAATAATCGTCACTGGCTCCGAGTGCGCTAGAGAATTAACTTTAAAATATTAACTCTAACAGACAAAACATTAAATAAAACAGCACCAAGATATCTTCAGAATCTCTCGACACACTACCAACCAAAAAGGCCACTGAGATCCGAGAGTAAACTATTGTTAGATGTATCGGTTTATAACATCAGTGACTTTTTCAGTTCGCTGCATCAATTCTATGGAATTCGCTGCCACCCTCCATTCGAAAATGTGAAACATTGTCTATCTTCCCATCAAGCGTTAAAACCTGGCTTTTGGTCATTATAATTAACCCACGTGAACACCTCCATGCACCTGTGCAATATAAATTTCGTTATTATTATTATGATATCGATAAATGTAATTGTTCTGTCTGTTTTGATCTCATTGTGTGAACGACTTAGAAATTAGTTCGTGTTTTGACAATTTTAATATAAAACCTGCCAACGGATATTGTGCTGTCTCTTCGGTTTAAGACGAAATTCCTGGGATGCTTCGCCTGTCTGTTCATCTTTTTCAATATCACTGACATCACTCTCTGTTTCAGGTGGAAGGTCAAAGTTTACGCAACGTGCCCGTTTCTTTCTATTACTGAAATACGATTTCTCTGATAAATTCGTTGGTGTTATTGACCGTGCTGTTCTATATGGGGTGTAGTCCGAATGACTAGAATAGGGCGAGTGTTCAGATGTAGGCCGTTTCAAGTTTCCTGATAAATTCGTTGGTGTTATTGACCGTGCTGTTCTGTATGGGGTGTAGTCCGAATGATTGGAATAGGGCGAGTGTTCAGATGTAGGCCGTTTCAAGTTTCCTGATAAATTCGTTGGTGTTATTGACCGTGCTGTTCTGTATGGGGTGTAGTCCGAATGATTGGAATAGGGCGAGTGTTCAGATGTAGGCCGTTTCAAGTTTCCTGATAAATTCGTTGGTGTTCTTGACCGTGCTGTTCTGTATGGGGTGTAGTCCGAATGATTGGAATAGGGCGAGTGTTCAGATGAAGGCCGTTTCAAGTTTCCGTCGATTTTGCCGGCATCTCTCTCGGATGTATAACTGTGACGTTCGCTGGATCTTTTATTGGAAAGACTGGATTGACCATATTTGGAATCTGAATATGGCGAGCGTTGCTTGCGGGTAAAAGAAGTGGTGTCCAAAGTATCAGCGTTTTCACCAAGACCCTTTTTTATTCGTGTTGACCTCTCAGAAAATTGATTAGGGCGTGGAGAAGACCTTTTGAATTCCCCACGATGGTCTCCCTCCCCAGCATGTATTGTTCTATTAGGCCGTTTTGGCGTGTTTGAATTGTGGGGGTAAGCCGAATGTGGTACACCACCAAATTCCGCCACACCACAAAAGTATAAATCGTTTTCTACAAGGAACAAGTCTTCATTTCTAGTTTCACCATACACAGATACCTCCTCGGCATCATTCTTCTTTCTAAAACAGCAACTGAGAACGAAAACACAATAAAATTAATTTGTATATAAAAAAATGAGGAAAACGAGAGAAATGGGGTTTAATGTCCACTCGACACCAACTAGGTCATTTCGGGAATAACATTTGGCTCAATTTGCAAACCGAAAGACCCGGAGAAAATCCACAAGGCTGGACAGGTGACCCTATACCTTGTCACATACAAGTAGGGAAGGGAAGCCACACCACTTGACTCAGTGACGGATCTTTTGATCTAACGCGAACGCATTGATCCATTCTACACCCACCCCCACCTCGAGAAGTAAGGAAAGTTCCCATGAATTTAAATGATTTGAAAATTATAAGAATAATAAACACCAGGTTGTTGACAATCTCCCTCACAGATTGTTTTATATTAAAACAAAAGTAACATGATAAACTACTTCTAGGTCGTTCCATATGAAAAAAAAGCAGTGTATAACAGATTCGGTTTTACGCAAGTCCCTCACACGGAACAGAGCGAAACGGGGTACCATGTGAAACACCCGTACCATGATGGTAACCAGTACGAGGATGAAGGGTCGTTATAATATATAGTGTATATTTAACAGTATTCTTACCATATTATTAGAATAGTGAATATAATAATTATAATGATTCCAGCAGCAACCCCAGCAGCAATAACTGAAATTAGTAATCATAGCTACAATTACGCAACAAACCCCAGCAGCAATAACTGAAATTAGTTATCATAGCTACTTTGCCTCCGTTAAAGATGCATTATGTGAGATGTATATGAAGAGTTGACAGTTCTCGCTATAATAGTTAAAAACAGATAATGAAATGGGAATATGTTGATAATTTCAGTCAAATTACTTCATTCTGAGCGTAGAACAGTGTACTCTCGAGTGTCATTGCTACCGTTGTTACGGTAATAAACAAAGTCTAGATTATCCATTTTTAAAATAAATCATTATCTTTTAATTATTTCAATAATTCGCTTACGTGTGTGGGTCTTTCGAAGTGCGAGGACACGACAAAACCCGGAGGAAACCCTAGGGCTAAGGCAGCCGTTCCTACCCCTGGCCACATGTACCATTCTGTCCACCAACACCCTACCAACAAAGGAAAAGCCAACGAAGGACCGAGTAATTTGATATTTTATCTACTATTTGTCATCCTTGTCAGTAGGGCAGGACGGGTTGGGGGGGGGGTGTATAAACGTTCGGATGGGACGAAAACCCGAGGTCCTATTTACACATTGACGTACATGTGAACGATCCCTTGGCAGTTGGAATTCGATATCAGAGCAGGTCGTAGCGCCGCTGTCTGGACAAAATTTTACTCATAAAACACTTTATGGCGTATGCACATCTTCATTAGCCCGGGGGGGGGGGAGCAAAACAGGCGGACGTTAAACCCAGTTTCATTTGATTTTACTAATTATCATCATTGTGATAAATACATTTTTAAATACATAAATAAATTACCAGGTATAAGTTCTGAATTCGTTGTCTCTGAAGTGATTGTTGTAGTATTATCTGTTTCACGGATAGTGTTTAATTGGATAGTAGCGGACGCTGCAGGTGGCGATGATGGTGGTGTTGATGATGGCAATGGTGTCTGGCTTGGGTTCAAAACCGTGACTGATGATGCTGTTGTGAATAAAATTTTTCCAGATGATGGTGAATGGGATGATGATGATGATGATGATGATGATGGCGGTGTCGATGATGCTGGTGTAAGGCTTGGGCTTAAAAGGGTGATTGAAGATGCTGATGTAAACGTTGTTTCTCCAGATGAAGGGGAATGGTATGCTGTTGACTGGGATGATGATGACGGTGATGGTGACGACGACGACGATGATGATGATGATGATGAAAACTGGCTTGTTGATGTTTGTTGAAACGAGGGTGATAGCCATGATGATGACGCTGATGCTGTTTGTAAGATACTCTGCGATGATGTCGGTACGATTTCGGTAGTTGACGTTGTAGATGTCGACGTGTCAGGTAGACTAGAGTTACTAACATTGTTATCACAGTTGATGGTAATAAATGTATCTGTAAAAAAAAATAAATATTATCTTTGAGGTTCTAACTTGTAATCTAAAATAAAACTCAAAGGAAAGGATGAAATCTTTCCTATACCCATCGGTTTGGTGTTACAGACTAGACAATCCGTTTCGTTAAAAATAAATAAAGAGCTAGACATTCTTCTTATAATAGTTCAAAACTAGATTTAGTCCCGAAATGACCTAGTTTGTGTCGAGTCGACGTAAAACCCATTTCTCTCTCTCAAAAATAGATAATGTAAAATGAATATATTTAAAATTTCATTCCAATTACTCTATTCTGAGCGAAGTTATAACTTTTGAAGATATAGCAGAGATCTTAGCAACGTTACTTGACAACCAAGACTTACTCTTGATTGTCTATTTTATCGGTTTGGTGTTACAGACTAGACAATCCCGTTTAGTTAAAGATACATTATGTAAACTTTAAATAAAGAGCTGGACGTTCTTGCTATAATAGTTAGAAAATAAATAATGTAAAATGAATATATTGACAATTTCATTCAAATTACTTTATTCTGAGCGCAGTTACAACTTTTGAAGATATAGCATAGATCGTTTCAACGCTACTTGCAACCGAGACTTAACCTTGATTGTCTATCTTATCGTATAATTTTTAAATCTCACGATGTTTTAATCCATTTTAATCTCGGCCATCCGGTGGCCTAGAGAGTTGATTATAGGCTTTTCAGATTTATCTATTCATAAAGCATTTTTAAAATATTCAGCAAACGGAAGTTAATGTGGGCTGCTATTAATAGTAGACAATCGATTTAACCCGATAATGGACAGTATCCCATAAATGTTTGCATCTAAACTTTAAAAAAGGCGGTCGTTTAATATAATTTGTTAAACTGTATGCATTTACCTCTGAGATCTGCTATAACTTGTAAACAAAAACCAGATGACGTCAACGAAGAAGCTGCCCTTTTAAAGAAAGCGAATAGTAACGAATCATCTCGAACGATTTGTCGGGTGAAAGTTGGCGCTTCTTTACAGACAACAGAAGACGAAGATGTTCCGTACACCACATTGACATCATAGCCACAATTAACGTCGTCAATAATACGAAACGTAACCGGAAACAAACTGGTCTTGTTTGAATCTGTTGGTGTTTTAATTAACCGAACTTCACACTGACAGTTGACGTCATTTATTAAAGTGGAATTCACGGGTATGAAGAATTGTCGACTTGGATTACTTTGACCACTGCACGGAAGAGCTGAATAAAAAAACAATTAAAAATAAATTAGGAATGCACATTTTAATCAAAACACATTTCGGGGTAAATACTTTGTTGTTATTTAAATTCTAATAAAACAAAATTAACCAAGTACAAATACAAATTAAAAGGGAAATAACATCTGTTAATAGACGTCGTTAGAATTTTAAGATAAAAATGAAATGAAAATGGGGTTTAACGTCGTACTGTTCTGCCCCGACTAGGCTATTGAAGATGGGCATATGCCATACAGTGTGCTATGAGCGAAATTTTGCCCGTGCACCTTTATAATGACCTACTCTTATATCGAATTCCAACTGCCAAGGGATCGGTTTTTCGTCCCATCCGTTTGACTAGACAGCTTTTCTGGTCAGGCCCTCCGTCCAAACTGATAAGGGGAAACCACGCCGAAAAACCCCGATGAACTTTCTCGGCCAATGCAGGGATCGAACACGCGACCTCCAGGCTAGCGTCTTAACCACTTAGCCACCGTGGCTCTCGATTTTAAGAAAAAAATGATTATTGAAATGTTTTATTTCATTCACTCACCTACAAAATTACCAAAACAGGATTGTCCTAAAAGAAAATTACAAAAAATAAATGCTTGAAATAAATCGAACGTTTGAAATATAATCTGTATTTATTATTAATTAAAGATCTTGATTTTATTATGCCAATGAAGAAGATGGCCCGGCCTCCTCTCTCACGACAGTGAATTTTACACCGTGTTTTAAAATGACGGGATTTTCCAACGTTGTTACAGTGATACAGGACTGGCAGGGGGCAACGCCTAGTCGTTCGGATGGGACGAAAACAAACGAGGTCCCGTGTGCAATGGGGGAGGGGTGCCTGCAGTACAGCAATTCTCGTGGATTCTTTTATGTGCACCTTGGTTTTTCGTCCAGACGTTGACATGGGAAACTTTGCTGGAAAATTTTGGGGACACTTTCTCGACCAACACCGGCATCGAACCATGGACCTATTGGTTAGTGAACCATCGCCTTACTCACTGCGCCATCGTGACTCTCTAAATACAAGACAAGAATTTAAAACTAGCTTACCAATACTAAAAAACACAACACATTTTATATGGAATACAATCACTGGTTTATACACATATGGCACGATGTTTCGACAAGTATTCTCTTATCGTTATCAAGTAGAAGTATCAAGTATAAACCAGTGATTGTATTCAATATGAATTGTGTTGTGTTTTTTAATCTGCTCAATCACTAAATGCCAATCAAGGATTACTTACCACTACTGAAGGTTATCAAATATCCTGCTATGACCAGAACATAAAATATAACACCCATGCTCTAACTAACAACCATTTGCTAACAGTATTGAAACCTTATTTGATACAAAAAAATCATTATAACTATGCCTTGTTAACGCCTACGAGTTAAGGCCGTTTTGATCCCCGTGTGATATTTACGCTATTACAAAACGTATTTGAATAGATACAAATATTAGCATAGTGTTTTTATATGTAAGTACTCACTATATGATCTTACAATACAAAGCTTAGCTGTTATTCCCATATAATAGCGAAAGTCAACATACTGACTCGATACATTGCCCTCAGAATAATACTAATGTGTTTTGGGATAATAGCCTCATAAACTACCTACTAATGCATTTTGTATCGACCCCATTTACCTGGTCTCTATATCGATACACGTGATTGAAGTATAGATTTAAAATGAAATGAAATGGGGTTAACGTCCTACTTTTTTGCAACAAAGGGGATAATATAGACGTACATGTATACGCCATGGATACATGTGGACCCGGACAGCGACGTTCATCGAATTCAGTGAGCGCTGTATCATAAAACCTGTCATTGAGTCAACTGGCGTGGTTTCGAATGCCTGGTTGTACGTGACATGGAGTAGGGTCGCCTGCCCAACCTCGTGGGTTTTCTCCGGGTCCTCCGGTTTCCTCCCATTGCTAAAGACCCTACGCGCATGCGAATTATTGAAATAAAATTAAACCATATGTTAGTCCCGAAACGACCTAGTTTGTGTCGAGTGGACGTTAAACCCCATTTCTCTCTCTCTTTCTCATCGATTTCAAACTGTCATGGATTCGTTCAAGTGCATGCCAACGCACACAGAACTCCGGTTTCTGTTCCACTAAAACGACTAACCGGTTTCCTTGCCAGGCTCACCTGGCTGATAACTCTCGGGCTACCCCCTTTGCCCACTGTCGACGGTTCTGGACGGAGGGGATGGCAAGGGACAGTTTCTAGTCGTTCGGATGGGATGAAACTTACACATAAACGGCCCCTTGACAGTTGGAAATCTGGGAAATGTTCCCTATAGCACACTGCATGGTGTAAGCCCATCTTCATTAACCCAGTTGGACGTTAAACGTCATTTCATTTCGTGATGCATTAGAACAATGCGAGGATGAATTTTATTGATTTTCCATGTACTTCGTACATCTATTACAAAATGTTTGTGTATATTGCATGGCAACCGCCTGTTTTTTATCATGCAAAATATTTTTATGCGTTTTAATCGGTGAGTTTTATATTAATTAAATTTATCTTACATGGTTCCAGCCATTCCTTGAAAACCGTATACAGACAGTTGTTTTCAAAGGTTTCCCATCCAACTCAACGGTTTTAAAGTATGGCTGCAGACAAATTAAGACGTTATACCCTATTTCATTTATGGGGGGTGGGGGTTGGATGGCTGAATGGTTAGCGTGCGCGCGCTGTATCATAAAGTCTGTCATTGAGTCGAATGGCGTGGTTCGAATCCCCGGTTGTACGTGGCAAGGAGTAGGGTCGCCTGTCCAACCTCGTGGGTTTTCTCCGGGTCCTCCGGTTTCCTCCCACTGCTAAAGACCCCTACGCGCAAGCGAATTATTGACATAAAATTAAACCATATGTTAGTCCCGAAATGACCTAGTTTGTGTCGAGTGGACGTTAAATCCCATTTCTCTCTCTCTCTCTCCCATTTCATTTCCATTTAGTATGTGTTATAGTTTATTATTGACATGAAATTAAGTTCACCTCATCTTCAAACTGAAGAAATAGTTCGGTAAACACTTACAACACGCTACAGAATAATTGATGCGTTTTTCCCACGAGAAATTGCTTAAAACCTGTACAAAAATAAAATATTCATGATAAAATATTACTTACAGTATGTGGTTAAAGTCAGAGTCTGTGTAAGTTTTAACCCTACGAACACATTAATACATAATGCATATATTACGAAATTCAATAGAAGCTACGACTCGTTGATATTTACGCCGTTAAAATGAAAATACCTATATAGTTGTTCCTATGAATAGATTTTTAAGTGCGTTTTTTGTGGTAAAAAAAAGTACGGATATTATTTCTTATGAAGGATAAAATATTGCAGATTTTTTTTCCGGATTATATAACACAAAAAGTACAAAGGAAAATAACAGGTGCGTGAAATGCTCAAGGTAAACGCGGGGTGTTATAGGGTGCTTTTGGATTATTTTACATTACTCGCGAAATCCAATAGAGGCTACAACTTGTGGAATTTTTCGCCGTTAAAATGAATGAAAATGCCCCCTTAGTTAAAAGTAGATGTTGTTCCTTTGAATAGATTTTTTAAAACGCGTTTTTGTGATAAAGAGTTACGGTTATTATTTCGTATAAAGGATGTAGAATTCTTTTCCGGGTTAAAATAGCTGCGTAAAATAATCAAAGGAAAACGAGAAGTGTTATCGTGTGCTCCAGAATTTACAGTCATCGCGAAATTCATCAGTGACTACCACTTGTTAAATGAAATACCTCCACAATTAAAAATAAGTAAACGTTGTTCGTTTGAAAATATTTTGTAAACGTGTTTTGTGTTAAAAAAAAGTTACGGCTATTTCTTACCAAGGATGCAGAAATCTTTTCCCAGATAATATAATACACAAGTACAAAGGAAAATATTGGCTGCGTGAAATGCTCAGGGTAAACGCGAAGTATTATAAGGTGCTCCAAAATTTACAGTCATCGCGAAATAAAGGCCTTTTACGCAGTTCAAATAAAAATACCACCAACGTTGTTCGTTTGAAAAGAACATTTTAAATGCGTGTGGTGGTAAAAATTAAAAATAGTTCACGCGTAAAGGATACGATATTGCAGAATTCATTTTTCGGATTACATTATATAATAGCTGTGTGAAATACCCAAATTAAGCATGAAGTGGTATGAGGTGTTCTAGAAAGGGGTAAGCATCCTCCACCCTTCTTCACAACCCAAAGTTAATTGGAGCGCTAGACATAAATTGTAGATTTCGTAGAATGCAATGGCCACGTTTGAACTTTAGTTGTGTTAATTCAGTTCGTGATTTGCAGTGCTGCCGGATTTGAATTATTGTGAAGGGATAACAATCTAAATTTAAATTCGGATTTAAATTATTGTAAAAGAGTAACCTTCCTTGCATAAACACATTTCATGATTTGCAGTGATGTCTGATTTGAATTATTGTGAAGGAGTAACAATAAACCTAGTCGATATTCTGAAATCGTTGCCAGACAGGAAGCCTTCGAACGCTTCTATCCCCGTAATTGGGCGGGAGAAGGAATACCGCAAATGTGTTTACAATCTGCAGCAGACGACAGAAAATATCATTACGCGTCATATCCTGTCATGTGAGAAACGATGCAGATGTGAAACAACGAAGGGGCAGCTTTTCTCTCATGATGTGAAGAGCACATCACTTGGGTTGCCGTACACGTCATATCAAAGACATCACGACCGATTGGAGGTAGATTATTGGAGACTGAAATTGGATTTGCTTAAAACAAAAAAGAAACAAGTCAGAGACATTTCTACATCAACAGAAACAATAGAATTCCTCACCATGACGAACAGCGTCACGCCATCAAAAACAACCCGATCATCAAAAACAACCCGAACATCAAAAACGAAGAGTTCCGAACAACACTTCCTACCATTTCTGAATTCAGGCACACGATCTGCTCCACCGGAAGGTAAGGATGATATTGTCAATGTTCGTGGCAGAAATCATATTAAACCTGTCAGAGTTTCATTGCCTCTGGCACCAATGAAAAATGGATAACTTATAAACCCTTTCAGCATGCCAGATTACGGAAGTACAGCGAAAAATTGTAAATTAACAAAATGAGGGATGACATCAGTTGTTCTAGAAAGACTACGCTTGACCTGCATCGTTTACGGCCCCTGTTTTTCTTTGGATTCTTGGAACTACGGGATAATATTGGTTTGTTGCATTCGCTCTGAAAAAGGAAATTCGAATTCCAAATCACCAACGTTCAGTTAATAACTGTGTTTGTTTTAGGGGTATCCAGTAAGTTGTTTGACGCGATTGTCAGGCTTGAACGTTTCCTTCTTATTTGAAATGTAAAGAAAACTTGAATATAGAACACTAGTGATAATTGGGTTTTTTATTTGCACGGATTTAATAAATATACAGAATAAACTTGAACATCAATAAAGAAAACCACTATTATACATTATGCCAATCTGCCAATTGCAGGTCTTTCTTTAGGCCTGAAATGTTATCTAAATTATTAATTAAACATTAATTAACTTATCCAGACCACAATCAACTCTCGATGTCATTGCTAGCCTGCGATATTTACTAGATTATAATCCGATCTGCTACTCATGATTAAATAAAAAAATGGATAATCCGGTCTGTTTTTTATCGTACCGAATCTAGTAATGATGATCGAGGCTAGGCCCAAAATTCAATCGCTAAATTCTCGGTTCAGATGGATCAATTTGACTGAAATTTTCAGTAAATTCCCTTTACACTATCTGGTTTTTAAGTGTCAGCTCTTTATCTAATCTCCCATAACATATAATAAGTACCCATATAATCTGTTTTGTATTCCCTGTGCTTTTCACATTATACAGGCTAGGACACCGCCGCACTTTGCACACGCATGACTATACCAATTGCTTACATTTATAAACCCCCTTAAATGAAATTTAGAATTAGAGGTATAATATTCAAAACACACTTGGTGGATTTATTACCTCTTGGTTTATTGCGATAAAGATACATGTAAGAGTATTGTAACGTTACATGTAATAAACCGACAGGTAGTAACTCCAATGACAGTGTTATTATGGATGTCAGCACCGGAAGTAGTACCGTCCATCAAAAATATACCCAAGTAATGATTTATTAGGAAAGAAATAAAGAATAAGTGGGCAACACCCATGCTCGCCTATCTTCATAAATAATTAGGAATGAGATATGTTGTGTGTATCAATGGGCGTCCTCGCTGAAAGAATTCCCACCAGACGTCTCGAGTAAAATCTTAGTTCCACGTTACCTTATCGATGGTAAGAGAACCGTATTTCAACGTAGTATCGTGATTAAATTCCATTTTAACGACAAAAACTAACGTTTGTCCACATACTGCAGTTCGTAATGAATGTACAGGAAAACAATGCGGTAA